GCACTTCGCTGGGAGTTTCTTGCTCACAAATGGCGTTGAATTGTGACAGAGCCATAGGGGGTCGGAAGCGTGAAATCCACCATCTCAGAGCAAACGGGACTCAGGAGGCTGAGATGGGGGGCTGGGGGGGCTCTGGGCCGGGCACAGTGCCCGGTGGGTGTGGGGGGGTGGCGAGACCCCATCTCAACGAAGACACGCACGGTGGTGCATGCCACTCCCTGAGTGCGTGGCGGTGTTGGAGTATTGTCTCAGGACGCCTCAGACAGAGCAAAAACCCCGTTCCCAAATAATCACAATGTAACCAGGTTGTCCCTATGCAGGTTGCCACACGCAATGTTTATTTGGAGGCAAACAGGGCTCCAGAATAGGGGTGTGATATTCCTGTCACCTACAAAGCCGGGGTGTCCAGACCGCCACGGGGAGCTGAGAAAAAGAAAAAAACCACAGAGTCCAATAAAGGCGGGTCCAGGGAGGGTGCGGCTGTGCACGCCTGTAATCCCGGCTGCTGGGGCCGGGGTGGCGCAGCCCTGAGTGACAACGCTCAGGCCAGCGCCCAGGCCCCCAGTTCAAGCCTCAGAGCTGGCACACGCATGTGCACGCACACAGACACCCACCCACGGACACGGGCTTGGCTTCCGGCTGGAGAGAGGGCTCACCACGGGGCCTCCTGGGCATGTGTGGGGTGGACGGGGCGGATGCGGGACCCCCTCAGGCTGGGGTCTCCTCTCTGTACCTTCTCCTGCCCGGCAGGTGCAAGGCTGGCATTGGCCAGCAGAGCAGAGCTCCCGCACCCAGCCCCAGCACCTGGGCGGCTGGCGGCCCCTGCTGGCCGGCGCGGGCGCTGATGGCGTCCTGACCCCCTCCCCTCCCCAGTCACCCTCCCATAGCTTGGTCTTCCCAGCAGAGAGGAAGCTCGGGGCTGTGGCAGGGCCGTCCGTGGCCGCCCGCCCCCCACCCCTCCCTCCAGCCGGTTCCCGGTGTGATCGATGATCGGACGTGGAGCCCCGGCCCGGCCCGTTGAGCCGACTGGGAGTTTGTGAATGGAGAACGCGGGGACAGCGCGCCACCTAGTGGCCGTGGGCGGGGTGACACCGGGTCCTGCGGGGCTGGCCGGTGCCTGGGCTGGGGGGGCCCTGCGGGGGGGCAGACCCCGGGCCGAGGGCTCGTGGGGCGCCCGCGCAGGCTGTGTGCACAGCACGTGCGTCCAGCAGGGGCAGGCTCTGTGGAAATGGTCCTTTTGTGTGTGTGTGTGTGTGTGGTCAGTCCTGGGTCTTGAACTCGGGGCCTGGGCGCTGTCCCTGAGCTTGCTCTGCTTGACCACGTGCGTCTCAGCGCCAGCCCCCCGGGTTGATGGACGTTCCTTGGGGATCCGCGTCCGGTGGGCCTTCCCGCCCGGGGCTGGCTTTGAACTGGGGTCCTCGGGTGTCGCCCGCTGGGTGGCTGGGATCGTGTGGCTCTGGCTGTGCGGGAGGGGAGCCGGGCGGGAAGGGTGTGGGGCCTCGGGCTGGTCTGACCCCGTCCCCCTCTCTCCCCCTCTGTCTCCCCAGCTCTGCGGCTGCGGGCTGCTGGGCGTGGGCATCTGGCTGTCCGTGTCCCAGGGCAACTTCGCCACCTTCTCCCCCAGCTTCCCCTCGCTGTCCGCCGCCAACCTGGTCATCGCCCTGGGCGCCGTTGTCATGGTGACCGGCTTCCTGGGCTGCCTGGGGGCCATCAAGGAGAACAAGTGCCTGCTGCTCAGCGTGAGTGTGACCCGC